ACCTGGACCAGTCGGCCGTCCTGGAAGAATGTTGTGAAACTCGGGTCCATCTTGAGGGCAGTCTCCCGAATATCTAGAATTCTTCCAGAAATGCCCGTGCGCTTACGTCTAACACTTGGTTATTGTCCTGCTCGAAGCTGCCACTGATGTTGGCATCGTCTCATTATCATCGCCGCCATCGCGGTTGTTATGTTGTGCTTGCCGCCCTTTTGTGAAGGAGCTGGAACCAGTCGGAGCCCCCAGGAAAGCCATTCAGCTACTCCGCGGATCCCCCAGCACATGCCCACGCATCGCCCCCATGGCAGCCTTCAACGCTACTCGAGCTCGCTAAGGTGGCAGAGGGAGCGGACAGCGTTCCCTCACGGTCTTCGGGCCACGGGGCCTCGGACCAGCGGCCGAGCAGGGCCAGATCGACGGCGCATGATGAATCGCCTCGCCAACGTGGGGACGACCCTGAGCAGGCTCCCTGCTGCACTGGAGGACGACTCCCTGCTGGCTCCCCGCGCCAGCGGCGCCGCCGGGTGGAGGTCCAGGCCAATCCGCGCGGAACTCCCATATGTTTGTGCAGCTATATTTTTCCTCCGATGCATTGTTCCCAATGCCCAGCGTGCGCAGCTCCTACCTCGAACGCCCTGCCCGACGTCCACGACTTACGGTCATAACGTGTAGTAAGGACGCGTGGTAAGGACCCACGGCCCCTTGAGGCCGAAGTTGGGATTTTTGGGGCGGTAGGAGACCAGCGAAGACGGAATGGACGGGCCGCTGAGGCAACGACACACGGGCACCCTGGATGAAGGCGCGTTGATTGTACACGCTGCACGAGACGGCACAGGAGCGGCGGAGCCGCTTCGAGCGTGCCATCCGCCCGCACACTGGGCGACAGGTGCGGAGGAGGAGGGGCCCTGACATCCTCCCTCTGCGAAAATAGCGACGGAGGGTGTTTGCCAATTGTCGGCCTCTGGAGCCCTTCGCCGGGCTGCAACCAAAATTAGCCTGACCAGGGACCCAACCATATGCAGCTACGACTACCAGAGCCTTCGGCGGAGCTCCCTATGGGGCCACGAACCGTGTGAGGGGGGTGCCGAATTGGGCATGGTGGTGCCAAGCGAACCCTCCCGCTGGAGCCTCCGGTGGAGCCCCCTATGGGGCGCGAACCATGTGACGGGGTGTGCCGAATTGGATGCGGTGGTGCCATGCGCACTGGAGCCTTCGGCGGGGTTCTCTATAGGGCCACGAACCGTGAGATGGGTGTGCCGAATTGGGCATGGTGGTGCCATGCGAACACTCCCGCTGGAACCTTCGGTAGAGCCCCCTGTGGGGCACGAACCGTGTGAGGGGTGTGTCGAATTGTGCGCGGTGGTGCCAAGCGAACCCTCCCACCGGAGCCTTCGGCGGAGCCCTCTATGGGGCAACGAACCATGTGAGGGGGGTGCCGAATTGGATGCGGTGGTGCCATGCGCACTGGAGCCTTCGGCGGAGCTCCCTATGGGGCCACGAGCCGTGTGAGGGGTGTGCTGAATTGGGCATGGTGGTGCCATGCGAACCCTCACGCTGGAGCCTTCGGTAGAGCCCCCAATGGGCCACGAACCGTGTGAGGGGGGTGCCGAATTGGGCATGGTGGTGCCAAGCGAACCCTCCCACTGGAACCTTCGGTAGAGCCCCCTATGGGCCACGAACCGCATGAGGGGTGTGCCGAATTGTGCGCGGTGGTGCCATGCGAACCCTCCCACTGGAGCCTTCGGCGGAGCTCCCTATGGGGCCACGAACCGTGTGAGGGGGGTGCCGAATTGGGCGCGGTGGTGCCAAGCGAACCCTCCCACTGGAGCCTCAGGTGGAGCCCCCTATAGGGCCACGAACCATGTGACGGGGTGTGCCGAATTGGATGCGGTGGTGCCATGCGCACTGGAGCCTTCGGCGGAGCTCCCTATGGGCCACGAGCCGTGTGAGAGGTGTGCCGAATTGGGCATGGTGGTGCCATGCGAACCCTCCCGCTGGAGCCTTCGGTAGAGCCCCCTATGGGCCACGAACCGTGTGAGGGGGGTGCCGAATTGGGCATGGTGGTGCCAAGCGAACCCTCCCACTGGAGCCTTCGGCGGAGCCCCCTATGGGCCACGAAGCGCGTGAGGGGTGTGCCGAATTGGGCGCGGTGGTGCCATGCGAACCCTCCCACTGGAGCCTTCGGCGGAGCTCCCTATGGGGCCACGAACCGTGTGAGGGGGGTGCCGAATTGGGCGCGGTGGTGCCAAGCGAACCCTCCCACTGGAGCCTCCGGTGGAGCCCCCTATGGGGCCACGAACCATGTGACGGGGTGTGCCGAATTGGATGCAGTGGTGCCATGCGCACTGGAGCCTTCGGCGGAGCTCCCTATGGGGCCACGAGCCGTGTGAGGGGTGTGCCGAATTCGGCATGGTGGTGCCATGCGAACCCTCCCGCTGGAGCCTTCGGTAGAGCTTCCTATGGGCCACGAACCGTGTGAGGGGGGTGCCGAATTGGGCATGATGGTGCCAAGCGAACCCTCCCACTGGAGCCTTCGGCGGAGCCCCCTATGGGGCACGAACCGCGTGAGGGGTGTGCAGAATTGTGCGCGGTGGTGCCATGCGAACCCTCCCACTGGAGCCTTCGGCGGAGCTCCCTATGGGGCCACGAACCGTGTGAGGGGGGTGCCGAATTGGGCGCGGTGGTGCCAAGCGAACCCTCCCACTGGAGCCTCTGGTGGAGCCCCCTACGGGGCCACGAACCATGTGACGGGGTGTGCCGAATTGGATGCGGTGGTGCCATGCGCACTGGAGCCTTCGGCGGAGCTCCCTATGGGGCCACGAACCGTGTGAGGGGTGTGCCGAATTGGGCATGGTGGTGCCATGCGAACACTCCCGCTGGAGCCTTCGGTAGAGCCCCCTATGGGGCCACGAACCGTGTGAGGGGGGTGCCGAATAAGGCATGGTGGTGCCATGCGAACCCTCCCGCTGGAGCCTTCGGTAAAGCTTCCTATGGGGCCACGAACCGTGTGAGGGGGGTGCCGAATTGAGCCTTCGGCGGAGCTCCCTATGGGGCCACGAACCGTGTGAGGGGGGTGCCGAATTCGGCATGGTGGTGCCAAGCGAACCCTCCCGCTGGAGCCTCCGGTGGAGCCCCCTATGGGGCCACGAACCTTGTGAAGGGTGTACCGAATTGGGCATGGTGGTGCTATGCGAACCCTCCCACTGGAGCCGTCGGCGGAGGTCACTATGGGGCCACGAACCGCGTGAGGGGGGTGCCGAATTGGACGGTGGTGCCAAGCGAACCCTCCCACTGGAGCCTTCGGCGGAGCTCCCTATGGGGCCACGAACCGTGTGAGGGGGGTGCCGAATTGGGCGCGGTGGTGCCAAGCGAACCCTCCCACTGGAGCCTTCGGCGGAGCTACCTATGGGCCACGAACCATGTGACGGGGTGTGCCGAATTGGATGCGGTGGTGCCATGCGAACCCTCCCACTGGAGCCTTTGGCGGAGCTCCCTATGGGGCCACGAACCGTGTGAGGGGTGTGCCGACTTCGGCATGGTGGTGCCAAGCGAACCTCCCGCTGGAGCCTCCGGTGGAGCCCCCTTATGGGGCCGCGAACCGTGTGAGGGGTGTACCATGCGCACTGGAGCCTTCGGCGGAGCTCCCTATGGGGCCACGAGCCGTGTGAGGGGTGTGCCGAATGAGGCATGGTGGTGCCATGCGAACCCTCCCGCTGGAGCCTCCGGTAAAGCTTCCGATGGGGCTACGAACCGTGTGAGGGGGGTGCCGAATTGGGCATGGTGGTGCCAAGCGAACCCTCCCACTGGAGCCTTCGGCGGAGCTCCCTATGGGGCCACGAACCGCGTGAGGGGTGTGCAGAATTGGGCGCGGTGGTGCCAAGCGAACCCTCCCACTGGAGCCTTCGGCGGAGCTCCCTATGGGGCCACGAACCGTGTGAGGGGGGTGCCGAATTGGGCGCGGTGGTGCCAAGCGAACCCTCCCACTGGAGCCTCCGGTGGAGCCCCCTATGGGGCCACGAACCATGTGACGGGGTGTGCCGAATTGGATGCGGTGGTGCCATGCGAACCCTCCCACTGGAGCCTCCGGCGGAGCTCCCTATGGGGCCACGAACCGTGTGAGGGGTGTGCCGACTTGGGCATGGTGGTGCCAAGCGAACCCTCCCACTGGACCCTCCGGTGGAGCCCCCTATGGGGCCACGAACCGTGTGACGGGGTGTGCCGAATTGGATGCGGTGGTGCTATGCGAACCCTCCCACTGGAGCCGTCGGCGGAGCTCCCTATGGGGTCACGAACCGTGTGAGGGGTGTGCCGAATTGCTCGCGGTTGTGCCATGCGAACCCTCCTATTGGAGCCTTCGGTGGAGATCCCTATGGGGCCACGAACCGTGTGATGGGTGTGCCGAATTGGGTGCGGTGCTGCCAAGCGAACCCTCCCACTGGAGCCTTCGATGGAGCTCCCTAAGGAGCCACGAACCGTGTGAGGGGTGTGCCGAATTGGGCGCGGGTGTGCCATGCAAACCCTCACACTGGAACATTCTGTAGAACTCCTCATGGGGCCACGAACCGTGTGAGTGGTGTGCCGGATTGGATGCGCATGCGAACCCTCCCTCTGGAGACTTCGATGGAGCTCCTTAGATGGCAACAAATCGTGTGAGCGGTGTGCCGAATTGGGCATGGTGGTGCCATGCGAACACTCCCACTGGAGCCTTCGGTGGAGCTCCCTATGGGGCCACGAACCGTGTGAGGGGGTCCCGGAATGGTTGACATGCGGAGGGCAGCGGCACGGATGGGAGGAGGGAGGAAGGAATGTGGGGCGCTGTCTCTTGTAAACGAGGACCCAACACCACAGGATGGTTGGGAACTACTCAGGGTGAAAAGCTGGTCCTGGGGAAGGGGTCAAGATCTCGGGGGTCCCACGCTGTGGAAAAACGCGCGACGGAGGATAACTGGGGAAGAGGGGAAGGGTCAAGAAGGGGCTCGGGTTGGACCCGTCGGCAAGCGCAG